GATGAAATAAAGAAAGTGGCGGTACTTTATTTACTTTGAGCAAGTAAACGTCATGTTCACAAGATAATTAATCCACCAGATAATTCAGAGGCGGTCTATTCAGTAAATTTTACTCCAGGAGCTGCGAGCTTGTTTTCAAGCTTCAGACTGAACTGAAGCAGCAGCTACTGACGTCATTACGCTCTTGCGCGATGCTGCGTTCAGGACAAGCATGGAAAACTCACCACTCTTATGCCAATACGGTCGCAATGATGCTTTTTAGGTCCCGAAATGGAATTGCATGAACATTCACGTGGTGGTTATGTAATACAGCGAATCGATAATAAAAAAATCTGCATTGACAAATTTACATAATCGARGTCATCGATTATTTCAACTAATCGGTGCAGCCCTAGTTTCCACACATGTAAAACTAACCTCACGAGTGGTGAATGACTATTGATGTTTCATTTAATTGTTGAATTCCTTGTTTAATAAATAATTATTTCTCACTTCCATGAAAGGATCTGTCATGTAGTTTAATGTCTCTGCTCCCAAAATTTTCTACAAACCAGTACACAACTTTCAACAAAAATCCCAGAAAACAACGATTGCTATGTATACAGCACAATCTATGTACATAAGTAACTGACGTATTTTTGGAGTAAACCCAGTTCAAGATCCTGTCACAGCTAATTGATCTTAGCAAACACAATAAAGATTATAATCTTGTCATTTTTACAAATATTGAGCAAAAACGTAATGTTATGCATATAACTACTGTTCCCTGAAGGATAGGAARGAGGAACAACACATGTATGGGAAACCACGCCCCTGCGTGTCCTGGCTGAAGCCACCTCTAATCACGCCTTTAGGCAGGTGACGATGATGACAGATGTCAGGCTCCGCCTACACATATAAATATACTGTCGCCATCACAGTCACTCCTTAGTTCGGTAACCGCTCTTCACCGAGCCCAGCTGTGCAGCGGGGCCACCATGTGTTGTACCTCGTTCCTTTCCTTCAGGGAACAGTAGTTATATGCATAACATTATGTTCCCTTTTAGTCAATGCACTCGGTACAACACATCATGTATGGGACATATATACAGTAA